TACGTGGCTGTAGGAGTTACAGAGCATCTTACCGTTCTGCCTCTCTTTGTAACAGCTTTTCCTCATATTGCTGATAATGACGTTCTCGTTGTTCTTGTTTTCGACGAACTTTTTCCTTTGCTAACTTCTTTTTAATCGAAAGAGAGTCCTCGTCGACTTCACTGTCACTTTCACTACTGGAACGCTCTACTACGTTATAACTTCCGTCGGCATCATCCATTGTTGGCAGTTCAGCTTGCGGTTTATCGTCTTCCTAAACATTCAAAACATCACATTTCACATATGTTCGCAAGAAGAACTTCTCTAGGCAAAAGAGAATCGTGAGCGCTCAGAAAAATAAATTATTTAATCACAGGAAAACTGCCACCTACTTCAGAGTCAGGCTGATCTCCATCCTCCGTTGAAACTGCTACGTTCGCTAATCTTTCTTTCTGCTGGACGAAGCTATTACGCTTGAACTGCTCATTTTCTTCGTCTACCTGAAAGCACATGTTACTACCGCTAACTTTTGGGCAGGTAAATAAAATTGTGGAAAATAAGGTACGCCCGGTAACTGGAGGAAAAACCTAGAGTTACAACAATTTTGATCATCAACGTTAGATATAAGAGCTTAATTTACCTCGAAGTCTTCGTCATTAAACAATCGTTTAAAGCGGTCATCTTCGAGTATGGCCGATGCAGTAACCGCCTAAGAATGGGAGTTAAATAATGGCATACAATCAAAGCAACACCGACCTTCTTCTTGTCGTTCTTCTTTTTCTTAGCCGAGCTCGTTGCATTTACTTCCGTGGCTGCTTCTGCTAGAAGGCGAGCAGCCAACTCCTTGTTCACCTAGAGATAAGCGAAAATCAAGACATGCGACCTAAGTATTCTTGTCTTACTCAACACTTAATCACAGTGATTGTATACACACTCTTTGATCGTTCAGAAACCTGCTCCAGCATAGGTTGGATGTTTTAATGCGGGCGTATGCGCGGGGCATTTCAAAATATCCATATAAATCCGTTTTTTAG